AACTCCGCCGAAGGCCCCAATGGCAGCGTTCGCATGGCACCCCCGCCTCCATTTCGACACGCCCCTCACACGTTTCGGATGACCATAGGGAGCTCCGCCGACGGTTCGCATGGCACCGCCGCCCCCATGTCGGCGCACCCCTCCCACGCTTCGTGGCCGCATAGGGAGCTCCGTCGAAGTCACCAGTGGCAAGATTCGCATGGCACCGCCGCCTTCATTTCGGCGCACCCCTCACGCGTTTCGTTCGTGGCCCAAGGCCCCAGTGACAACGTTCGCATGGCACCGCAGCCCAGTTTTGGCGCACACCGCGCACGTTTCGTGGCCCCCGAGGGAGCTCCGCCGAAGGCCCCAGTGGCAGCGCTCGCATGGCACCGCCGCCTCCATTTCGGCACATCCCTCACACGATTCGGATCACCATAGGAGCTCCGCCGGCGGTTCGCATGGCACCGCCGTCCCCGTTTCTGCACACAAATCACACGCTTCGTGGCCCCATAAGGAGCCCCGCCGAAGGCCCCAATGACAGGGCCCGCACGGCACTGCAACATCCATTTCGGCACACCCCTCACACGCTTCCTGGCCCCATAGGGAGCCTCGCCGAAGGCCACAGTGGCAAGGATCGCACGGCACCGCCACCTCCATGTCGACCCCTCACACGCTTCGTGACCCCATGGGAAGCCCCACCGAAGGCCAATGGCAAGGATTCCATGGCAACGACGCCTCCATGTCGGCACACCCCTCACACGTTTCTTGGCCCTAGTAGTAGTAGCAGTAGTAGTAGTAGTAGTAGAAATAGTAGTAGCAGTAGCAGTAGCAGTAGCAGTAGCAGTAGTAGTAGTAGTAGTAGTAGTAGTAGTAGTAGTAGTAGGTAACGCCGTGCCCGTCCGGGCCGTGTAGTAGTGAACCGCTGTTCTGAAGATGTGTCGCTGTCTTTCTCTTTGTTTGGCACTGAAGTATATGTTTTAGAGGTTTATGTGGCCGATGTTGGATCCCAGAACATAAATTTACCTTAAGAGTTTGACACTCGGTTTTCGGTTTTAAGTTGCCCCCGTCCATACAATCGAGCATGATGGAAGCGAACGCCGTCTCCGTCCGGGCCCGCCGTGTTCGATTCCGAAGATATTTCTTTGCTTTGCTTTGCATTGGGTTGCTTTGCACTATTTTGCATTGCTTGCATTTGTGTTGCTGAATTAATGCCTGCTGAGGTTGCATTGGGAGCTTACATCATGATGATGATGTTGAAGAAGGTGATGATAATGATGATGACGATGATGACGATGATGATGGTGGTGATGGTGACGATTAGTATGATGACGATGATGCGGATGATGATGACGATGATGACGATGATGATGCTGATGTATGACGATGATGATGATGTTGATTACGACGAGAATGATGATGATGCTGACGGTGGCGATGATGATGATTATGATGGTGATGCTGATGCTGGTGATGATTGTGATGATGCTGGTGATGATCACGATTCATGACGATGATGGTGGTGATGATGATGAGGATGCCGACGATGATGAAGATGATGTTGATGATGATCATTTTGATGCTGATGTTTATGATGATCATTATGATGATGTATGATTATGATTAAGTTTTTGATGATCATTATATGTATATACATATACCCACATATACATACATATAAATATATACGCGTACATATGTATATACACATATGTATATATACACATGCGTACATATACATTTACACGCACATAAGTGTATTTATATATATACACATATACATCTGTATATATATACATATATATATACTCCCACAGAATTCCTCAGCATTCCCCTGAGGATTCCCTCAGGATTCCTAAGCGCATATACACTTCAGGGATTCCTGAGGCGCGCAAGCGCGAACCCCGACGGGAACGGCGTGCGGTCTGCGCAAGGATTCCTTCGGACTCCACTAGGATTCGCTGAGGATTCGGCAGGATTCCTTAGGATTCCTTCGGATTCGCTCGGTGTCCTTAGGATTTCCTTCGGATTCGCGAGCTTTCCTTCAGAATTCCCTTAGGATTCCCTCAGGAATCCTAGGCGTTCATACACTTCAGGGCTTCCTGAGGCGCGCAAGCGCGAACCCGGACGGGAACGGCGTGCGGTCTGCGCAAGGATTCCTTAGGATTCCATTAGGATTCGCTGAAGATTCGGTAGGATTCCCAAGGATTCCTTAGGATTCCTTCGGATTCGCTAGGTTTCCTTAGGATCCCCTTCGGATTCGCTAGCATTCCTTCAGGATCCCTTTAGGATTCCCTGGCGTTTATACACTTCAGGGATTCCTGAGGCGCGCAAGCGCGAACCCAGACGGGAACGGCGTGCGGAGTGCGCAAGGATTCCTCAGGATTCCATTAGGATTCGCTGGGGATTCGGCAGAATTCCTTAGGATTCCTTAGGATTCCTTCGGATTCGCTCGGTGTCCTTAGGATTCCCTTAAGATTCGCTAGCATTCCTTCAGGATCCCTTTAGGATTCGGTCAGGA